TTGTAGAACAGTAAGTCAAAATAATTTGATGCTGTTAGTCAGGTAGTAGATATAAATTATATATCCATTATTGAATGTGAACCGTATGTCAATCTTTGTAAGACTATTTCAGATGACATTTTTATAAAAAGTCTTTTATGAAATGTGCATTTCTGCTTTCTTTAATACTATTGCTATTGATTATTCTTTCTCTTCTCTTTGCTCATTCATATTACTAGGCAGTTTTTTGATATTGAATTGGGTTGGAATGACATAGGAAAATGCTTCCAGTTACATTTTCAAAAGAAAAGGAATAAAAAAAATTCTTTGCGATTATTGTGGGACTGTCAGATGACACTAAAACAGTAAAATTTATAATGTTCTATGTAAACTGAAAAGGATTTGATTATGGGGAAGAGACTAGGATTTCTAGCTCCATTTTACATATTTCATTCATTAGTTTAAAAGACTAAATGCGAGTTGCTGGATAGTTTGAAAGTTCAAATCATTTATGTCCTTTTAGGTAAATAAGGCTACTGACAGGATTTAAACCATGTCATAGTTTTTCTGTAGAGCACTACATATAGAGGGGCTTAGAATAAGCCTGTTAATGGTTGCATACCAATTTTTAGGCTGAAGAGATAAAAGAGGATAGGGTAAAATGAGAGTTTGAGCTCTCCCTGATGGCGCAGCGGGTTAAAGCACAGCATTAAGAAGATAAAGCCACTTCCGCTTGAGTTAGATCCCCGCCTGCCCCGGAGGTGACCACCTGGCGCGGCAGACCTCTCCTGACCCGCCCGCTGCTCCCCTCAGCAGTGTACTTCGTCGATCTGCCTGTTCTGCTCCCGACTCTGTCCTGGTGAATTCTCTCCCCCTCTGCATCTCTAGCCTCTACCGCAGTTCTGTATGAATAAATAAATAAATCTTTAAAAAAAATGAGAGTTTGAATACTGGATTAGAGGTTACTGTTTACACTACTTGAAGGCAAAACTTTGTGCAGTTCAACGGGGATTACAATTGAGATGAAAAAATGTACAAAATGAAGAATGATGTGTATATATATGTATAGGTATATACACACACATATATATACACACATATAATTTAAAAAAAAAAGAATTGAAAGGAAAATGCTACTTGATCACATGTAACAATTCAAATGAATGGTCACTAGCCTGGCTGCTGCTGTCTTAATTCTTGGTTTAAATGAAATTTTGAAGGAAAATTGTAATGTAGTAGCATGAATTTTAGCCAAGCTTATAAACTTACTAATTCCTTGCCATCAAGTAAGTCATGTAATCTTCCTTTTTGTTTTTTTCTTTATAAAGTAAGGATAATCTCTGCTGACCTCAGCAGCTGGTATATATCAGACACTCAATAAGTCCTCATATATTATCTCATTTTTTGACCCTCTCATATATTGCCAGGTCCTGCGCCAAAAGCTTTTATATGGAAGTACTTTGTAAACTTTAAAGTACTATTCAAATTAATGGTGTTATTAAAACCCCACAGTTTATCCATTCAAACATCCCTATCATTAAGCGCTTGATAAATGACTGATAAATGACTCTCAGCTGTTGCTATCGGTATGCATGAGCCCTAAGAAATTTTCTTTTTTATTTAGTTTCTCTCATGATGCTAAAACAGAGCTTGCCATTATCTATAGTGATCCCGGGGGGAGGAAAGCTTAAGTCACAGCACATTGTAGACTGGTTCCAGAGCATTCCCTTTAATCGTTGTGAGAAGGAAAAACTCAGGAAGGTGTTTGCTCTTTGAAGATTTGCTCTTCTATTTAGGAAATTAAGCATCTCTTTTGGGTCCCAGTAAGCTGGATAGTAATTATTTCAGGGTTGGTGAGGAGGAGAGGGTAGAAATTAAATGAATCTTCCTGTGGAATCTTATGAAAGATTCTTATGAATCTTTCAGGCAGTGGCCTTATACTCTAATGAGGGGGGGAATTCTCTGTGTAGATATTTGTGTTGAGTGTGACCAGATATGAGCAGTCACACAACAGCTACCTTTGTACAGATTTTCAATGTAGATATAGGGGAAACAACAACGGAAAAATTGGTAAGAAAAGGTTATGTGCAAAGAATACAAGGAACAGAGAATAAAAGACTAAGAGGCGTTACAACCAAAGGCTGCTGGAAGGCAGACAGAACAAAGGTTTAAAATGAGATTGTCAAGAAATGATAATAATTAATTACTAAGCTTTGCTTTGACCTCTAGCAATCAAAGCCATTCAAAAACAGCCATTTCAAAGAAAATTAAAATCAGAATTTTGGAGCCCTGAGGCAGTACTAGTACTAAGCACAATGCTGCTTCCTCTTTTGCACCTTCCTCAACCAACTTCCCCTTTTCTCCAGTGTCTCTACCTCCTTCGAATTCCCTAGCTATGTACTCTCCAGGGAGAGGAGGTTCCGGGTTCCCTGTCCCACCCAAGGAACGGGGGAGCTGAGCAGGGAGAAGGCGAAGCTGGAGAGAAGACTGGAAGAAGGAAGGAAGGGGAGGAAGGAGACTTGGAGGAGGCACATGGAGGAGAGAGACATGTGAAGAAGCTGCAATGGCTTCTTGGCCTTGGACTGGTACCAGGGACTTGGGGGACATGGAAGGAGACACTTGAAACAGATGTGGGTGAGAGACATGTAGGGAGGCTGACAGTGGCAGCCTTATCTTGATTTGGCTTTTAATTTTGCCCTTTTCCTTCTAGACTTCTCTGGCCTTCCTTATGGTTCCCCACCAGAAGGTGCCTTAGGCTTGTGGCAAGCTTTTGGGCCTCAGTGGCCCTGCTTTGGACCACACTTATTTGATTGGGGCATTTACTCATGTGGGGATTGGGTAACTTTGGGTGTTCCCTGTGAATTATTTTATATATTTTCCCCTTCTCTTTAATGCACACTAATTGTACTAAAGTTCCTTCCATTAAAGGTCTTACACACTAGAGTATGTTCTATTGATGCAATGGATGGTAGAACCTACTTAGAGCAGTCAGATTTTGGGGTACCCCTCACCCTGCCTGGTAATACGCTCTAAAATGTCTACATTGCTTCATCTTTATTATGGTTTTATAAGTTCAATATTATTGTCGTCTTATTTTTAGGATACCGATTTTTTTTTATGGTTTTTCTTTTTAAAAAAATAGTTTATTTTTACATCATTTTGTACATTTTTTCCCCATCTCAATTGTAATCCCCGTGGGTTTCCCATCACCAAGTCACCCATGTGCCATCACCATAGTCCCTTGCACTTCCCTCCCCGCCCCCCGTTTTTGATCCCATTCCCCACTCCACCCCCACAAAATGTCTCTGGTATATGGTTGTTCATTATTCTTATTATTTTCTTGCCTGGTCCATTATACTCCTGCTATGAGCGAAACTATCCAGTATTTTTCTTTTTCTTTCTGGCTTATCTCACTAAGCATGATCTTTTCCAGCTCCATCCAAGTTGCTGCAAAAGACTTGTGTTTCTTTTTTTTTTTGGTTGCTGAGTAATATTCCATTGTGTATATGTACCACATCTTTTTAATCCAGTCATCTACTTTTGGGCATTTGGGCTGCTTCCATGTTTTTCCAATTGTAAATAAAGCAGCAATAAACATGGGAGTGCAGGTATCTTTTTGAATCAGTGTTTTTGTGTCTTTTGGATAGATACCTGGGAGTGGGATTGCTGGGTCATAGGGAAGCTCCATGTTTAGCAGTTTGAGGAACCTCCAAACAGTTTTCCATAGTGGTTGTGCTAGTTTGCATTCCCACCAGCAGTGCAGGAGAGTTCCTTTTTCTCCACATCCTCGCCAACATTTGTTGTTGCTAGTTGTTTGAAGATGTGCCATTCTCACTGGGGTGAGGTGGTATCTCATTGTGGTTTTAATTTGCATCTCCCTTATTACGAGTGATGTTGAACAGTTTTTTCATATGCTTGGGATACCGATTTTTTTTAATTAAATATTTGGGGCTCCCTAGTGGCACAAGGAGTTAAGTCTCAGCACTATTAAGCTATCTCCAGCCACTGCAGCAGTGGAGTTTGATCCCCTGACAGAGAGCTGACCCACATGGCACAACAGACCTCTCCCGTCTTGCCCACTGCTCCCCTCAGTAGTGTATTTCAATAGATCTGCCATTTCTGCTCCCTACTCTGTCTCTGGTGAATCCCCTCACCCCCCATAGCTCTGGACTACACCTCAGTTCTTGTATGAGTAAGTAAATAAATATTTAAGTATTTATTTATTTTCTTACATCATTGTTCATTTCTGTCCAATATTTGATTTCTTCTCTCAGGTTTAATCTCCTTAAATCTCCCAGCACCACCTCACCTGTGAACCTACACCATAGTCCATTGTGCATTCCCTCCCCTGTTTGGATCCCTCTCTTCTCCTCCCTGCAGTAGGTCTCCGATCCATAATTTACCTGGTAGTTTTGCCTTTTTTCCTGACCCTTTGTTCGGTTCCCCTATATTCCTCCTATAAATGAAATCATCCGATATTTTTCTTTTTCTGACTTATTTCACTGAACTTAATCCCTTCCAGCTCCATCCATGTTGCTGTGAATGGCATGAGCTTATCTTTTTGATTGCTGAGTAGTATTCCATTATCTGTATATATATCACATCTTTTTGATCCAGTCATTTATTTTTGAGCATTTGAGTTGCTTCCAATATTTCCACATATTGTAAGCAGTGCTTCAATAGACATAGGGATGCAGATATCCTTTTAAATTAATGTGTTTGTGTTCTTGGCTAGATTCCTAGGAGTGGAATTAGTGGGTCATATGGTGGCTCCATTTTTAGTAGCTTGAGGAGCCTCCACATGGCTTTCCACAGTGGTTGGACCAGTTTGTATTCCCACCAGCAGTGTAGGAGAGCTCTTTATCTCCACATCCTTGTAGTATTTGTTGTTGTCAGTTTTTTTTTTTTTTTTAATAATATGGGCCATCCTCACTGGAGTATGGTTAAATATAAATTATTCATTTATGTGAAATACATTGTTATAATTTCTATTCTTTACTTTTATGTATTTTTTAATACAGATGACATTATACTCCTGAAAAATTTAAACCACCAAAGCCCTGAGGAAGCAAATAAGAGAGAGGACTCACCTTCAAGAGGGCGATCACATGCTCCTAGATATCACCCCCAGAGAGGTAAAGTATACTAAAATCACATGTGGTAAATAGAGTACAAAATAATGTGAGTAACTGGCTAAGCAAATTCGGCTAGGTAAGCAAATTTGCCAATTCGTACTGTTCTAAAATGCACTAGTTGCTAATTTTTTTTTTTTCTTAGAAACTTGTGCCTACAGGGTTGGTAAGAATTTATGCCATGACGAGTGAAAACATTTTTTTAATTTCTGAGTTACTCCCTTAAAGGAGAGCAGGATGAGAAGGCTATGAGAGTTAAGAGCATGCATAATAATCTGGGCACCAAGGTATCCATTTTGAAAAAAAAAAATGCTTAGGTCAAAGATTGCAGAAGAACATGAAGTCCTTTGTAGTCCTAATCATAGTGTTCAGTGTAATGTGCATATTTTGATATAAATGTGCTGTAGGTTGTCAGAGTAGAGAAGTCTTTTTAACAATTAAGGACTCTATGGTCTAGGTAGCAGGTAGCACCATCTTGACATTGTGCATACTCTGAACTCCTGCCAGTTGTCTACCAGCTACATAATAGTCCTTGTCTAAATCCTCTAGTGCCTCAGAGGTTCTGAGAAAAGGAAGAGAGGATAGTTATAGGGGCAAAGTTGCAAAGAATGGTGAGGTGGCCCAACCTCAGGTTTACAGCTATACATAACATTTATTTAGTGAGCTTCAAAGATCCATAGTCTTCAATAATTTCACAATAAAGCAAAACAGATGACTGAGACAAATATTTGCATGATTAACATAAAGCAGAGTTTCTCTTCATCTTTCCTTTTTCTATTAGAATATTCTTTAATTTCACACAATATATCCCAAATTTGGTGCCACATGAAGCCAAATTTAAAGTGTGTTATATATATAGAAAACTTCCATATTTTAGTATGCAAAGTAGAAATAGTATGGCAAAAATCTGTTCTAGAATTCAGTGAGACTCATGTGATATCAGACTAATAAAATAAAGTTTTTGTAAAACCCAGTGCAGTAATAAATGAAATCAGAGATAATATTTATAAAAGATGCGTTTTATTTTCTGAAAATAACTATTTTTCAAAGGACACTCAAAAACTGGAAACAACACTGAGGGTAAAAATCATGATAAGAAACCAGACCAAAGATCTTCTGGATTAAAGCCTCGACAAAGCCCTTTAAACAGACATCCTGTAAATAAACAGGTAATAAATAAAGAATTAACCAATATAAAGATCCTGAAATTAATGTATTTCTTAATATTATGGACTATTTTGAATTCTATTGGGAACAGGAATTGTTTTAATAGTCCCTCCTGGTGACTTGAACATAATTTAAATTCTGGTTTTGTCAACTGATTTTCCTCTTGGAACTATTTTAATAAATGTTTAGTTTTTGCTAGTTTCAATTATCACTAAGAAATTTGAATTTATAAAATGCCAAAGCAGATTACTGGTTTTGTGATTTGTCCTGTGTGATCATTTTCCCTTTTGATCTTAAGTTATAGTATTAAAAATAGTTTCACTAACCTCAGGAATGAGTTGTAAAAACCAGAAGTCAGATGACATGGGATATGAAACATACTCTGGGACTAACAGGTGGCACACACTATAGTTCTGGAAATCCAAAATTGTTGGATGTGGGAACTTAAAATTTCTTATTTTCCAAATTAGGCAATTACAAACTTTTTTTTTTCTTGAGCAAAACATGCTGCATTTTCAAATATTGAGAGGATTAATTTAAATTGACTTAACAAATGTTGATTAAGTCTAACCAGGCACTATGCAATGTACTAGAGCAGCCCTGTTTCAAGTATTATATATGTTAATAGCTGCAAAAAAAAAAAAACAAGAAAGGAATTTAATTCCAAGTAGGATGCAGAAAACTATTGTATTAATTCAACACAATTCTTTTTGAATGTTTCCATCAAATGTTCATAAGGAAAGAAAACTAAAATCCATTTTGCTTTCTAAAGGTATAAATCTATAGTATCCAAGTTAATGAAAATATCTCACATAGATAGTAGTCAAGACTAGAAGCTCCTTTGGAAAAGTACTTGGGTACCTATGAATTTTTAGGTGATGGATCTCAAGCCTCCCTGCTAACTCACTGTGCTTCCAACATTAGTCATTTAGAAAAGGTAACAGGTTAGACAAGATGGTGATAGAGTTGAAGAAGTATTAATTTATGTAAAAGAGATAGTTTTTCATTAATGAGGAGAATATTTAGTTTATTTCTGAACATTCTTTGCTACAAAATACTATTAGCTATTCTATCTTCTCAATTATGAAGTGTTAGAATCTTTTGTTTCTTTAGGTGTCGGAGACCAGCTCCAACTTTTGAGGTGTCTGGAGGCAAGAAAGGCAGGACCCTAAGATGGGAAGGCGTCGGCATGCGGAGATTCCAAGAGGGGGAGAGGAGCGGGTGCGAGGAAGACATGGGAGTCGGAGTTGGGTGCAAGTCTTCCTGCTCTGCCTTCAGCAGAGGTTTATTTTATACATTTCAAGCAGGCAGGGGGATGACATTAGCATATGAAAGGGGTTGAGATTACAATCACCTATTTTCTAATAGTCTGGGGTCGTTTTGACCTTTACTTGAGATTATAACATTCTAAAATCAATCAAGGTTAAAAAAACAGGTATATAGGTGCACAAAGTTTAAGACTAATGTTACTATAGTGGAGATTGATAAAAAATAAAGTCCTTTAAACCTTATCTATTACTTGATCGTTTTTTCAACCTGAGACATCCTGGGAGGCAGGAAGAGGAAATTTCTTGCAAATCAAATTTTGGAAAAGTTCTTTGAAGAAACTTGCTAAAAGGTTTTAAGTGAGTTTCCTTATGGTCTAGACAGTAGAAAGTGTATAATTTGCTCTGAATAGGAGACATAGGTGAATTTCCTTATCTAAAGACTAGATAGTAGAATCCTGAAAGACTAGCCAGAAAGACTTGTGGATTGCTATGACGTGTAGCAGGTAAAAAACTTGACTAGTGGCCCTCCCTGGTGGCGCAGCGGGTTAAAGCACAGCACTGAGAATCTAAAGCCGCTTCCGCATGAGTTCGATTCCCGCCTGCCTAGGAGGTGACCACATGGCGTGACAGACCTCTCCTGACCCGCCCGCTGCTCCCCTCAGCAGTGTACTTCATTGATCTGCCTGTTCTGCTCCCCACTCTGTCTCTGGTGAGGCCTCTCACTGCCCCTGAGCCTCTGGCCTGTACCCCAGTTCTGTATACACGAATAAATAAATCTTTAAAAAAACAAACAAAAAAAAAAACAAAAAAAACTTGACTAGCTCTACAACAGGCAACCTGGATGAATTTCCATAACTAAAGGCCAGACAGTAGGAAGTTTGAGTAATTCTTTTAGAAGCTGAATAGAAGGCTAGGTGAGATAGTAGAATGATAAGATTTGGGTTTTCCTCCATCCCACAGTGAGAGACTTTGCAGAAACAGCCTTTTTGCTTTTTTATTGATCAGCCAGTTGTGAAGTCACTTTTGACTTCAGAGGAATTTCTCCCCCTGGTGCAGTGCTTGCTTGTCAGGGCAGGCAGGCCTTAAGCGGCTGAGGCAGTCCAATTGTAAGCTGAAAGTTGTTCAGAATATTTTGATATTACAATTATACAAAAAAGGGAGGTCATAACATAAGTTAGCGTGGGAAGTCTGATTTTTCAGAGCAATTCCCCGCCATCCGTACCGTGTCTGACGACAGAGGTTGCATAGCTTGTGTCATTTAGGTAAAACATAGATCCAGGAAAAAGTAGGTAGAACATGACCTACTTTTAGATGTGCAAAGCAACTAATTTTCCATATTTAAAATTTTTAAAACTTTTATGTGCATATTCAATGGCATGAGACATCAAAGTTTTCTGTATATGTTTATTATAATTTATAAAAGTAAGGGTAGTGGAATTCTAAAAAAGAGTTGTCTATAGAATTAGACACTGTGATTTAATGCTATCACAAGGTACACATTTCAATTTTGCCAAATTTTTGGTTCTTTTCAGAAAAAGTGCAATGGTGGTTACAAGGCCCAAGAAGAGAAAAATCGAGATCAATCAAAATGGAACCAGTATCCATCGGGAGAACCGCGAGGTCAATATGAAGAAAATCAATACCATTCAGAGAGATCTAGAGGCTACTTAAAGAGATCTCATGGCCAATCAGAGAGATCTTATAGCTACACAGAAAGATCTCATGGCCAACCAGAGCGATTTTATGGCCACTCAGGTAGAGATCATGGCCACAGGGAGAGATATTATGGCCAATCAGAGAGATCTTATGGCTATTCTGAGAGATATTATGGTTACTCAGAGAGATCTTATGACTATTCAAACAGATCTCCTATGCTATCAGAGCAATATTATGACCCACCAGAGAGGTCTCATTTCCTCTCAGAGAGATCTCATGGTGGGCCAGAAAGGTATTGTGACCAATCAGGGAGATATCGACGACACTCACCAGTAGGAAGAGGCAAAGCATCATCCTATATTGACTCTCATGCTGACAGGTAAAAACACAATAAATACCTAATCATTAGCACAGTGTCTTGAATGAGAGATAAATCTAAAGGCATTTTTATATATTTACATTTAATGGCTAGATGAAGTTTTAGTAAACGTTGTTTTGCTACAAGATATTAATAAAATGGAGTAAATCTTTCTAAGGCATATGTATTCTTTCAACTTGCTTATGTTCTTAAGCTCACATCCAGTTTCTCAAGATATCCTAATTAAGTTATTCCACATGGGGCAGAGTTCTCTGGCTGAGCCCTTTGTACTCAACCTTTCTGTCCAAACGGTCTATACAATCAAAATATGTTGATTCAGTGTTCTATTCTGTCTGATTATGCATTGATGACATATAATCTCGGTAATGAATTTTTGTTTTTCTTCTCTATTTCCTTCTCAAAAAGTCCTCAAAGAGTCCCCAGGAGATAAGTGATATTTGTATATTTGAGCAGCTGAACTTTCCTGATTTCCTCAAATCGGATGATAGAAGATGCTATTCTATGCATAAACGTAACCCTAACCTTCTGAATATATATGTATATATTCACTGTTACCTTATAAAATATGTAAGTGAGATTTGTCTGCTCCAGAAAAAAGCTAATGAAATTTAAGTAGTACTACAGATTGCTTGAGCTTTAAAAATGAGTTTTATTGCAATTGATTAGGCATTGAATAAATATTTATTTTTATTCAAATTTCTCAGTGATTTCCTTCAGTTTTCATAGCCTATAAATGTCTAGTCAGTTATTTTAGCTCATAATTCAGCTCACTACACAGATATGTTGATTTCAGCTAAAGGGCTTTTTTAAAATATATGTGCAGGTTACTGTGTGTCTAGCTAATTTTTGATGTAGGCCCCATATTTATGTTTAAGGCACACCTTAAGTATATTAACATATGCTATAAAAGTTGAACACTGATGACAAGAAACTTATATCTATATTTATTAAAGATTTTCACATTTTATTTCACTTTATACATTTTTGTTTCTAAAGTGATGTAACACTTCGCTAGGGCACTAAAATTCCTTTTACATTGTACAATTAAAATGACATATTCCTGTCGTTTTACAAGTCTATTTTAAAATACAGTGAGCTATTCTGTTCAGTCTTTTTCTTTTACTTTTTTTTTAATATAATAGTTTATCGTTACATCATTTTGTAATTTTTTTTCATCTCAATTGTAATCCCCGTGGGTTTCCCATCACTGAGTCACCCATGTGCCATCACCATAGTCCTGTGCACATCCCTCCCCCCCCCCCCCACCCCCGTTTAATCCCATTCTCCACCCCCACAAAATGTCATTATTCTTATTATTTTCTCGCCTGGTCCATTATACTCCTGCTATGAGCGAAACTATCCGGTATTTTTCTTTTTCTTTCTGGCTTATCTCACTAAGCATGATCTTTTCCAGCTTCATCCAAGTTGTTGCAAAAGACTTGTGTTTCTTTTTTTGGTTGCTGAGTAATATTCCTTTGTGTATATGTACCATGTCTTTTTAATCCAGTCATCTACTTGTGGGCATTTGGGCTGCTTCCATGTTTTTCCAATTGTAAATAAAGCAGCAATAAACATGGGGTGCAGGTATCTTTTTGAATCAGTGTTTTTGTGTCTTTTGGATAGATACCTGGGAGTGGGATTGCTGGGTCATAGGGAAGCTCCATGTTAAGCAGTTGAGGAACCTCCAAACAGTTTTCCATAGTGGTTGTACTAGTTTGCGTTCCCACCAGCAGTGCAGGAGAGTTCCTTTTTCTCCACATCCTCGCCAACAGTTGTTGTTGCTAGTTGTTTGAAGATGTGCCGTTCTCACTGGGGTGAGGTGGTATCTCATTGTGGTTTTAATTTGTATCTCCCTTATTACAAGTGATATTGAACATTTTTTCATGTTTGTTGGCCATCTACATTTCCTCTTTGGAGAAGTGGTTTTTTTAGCTCTTCTGCCCATTTTTTAATCGGGTTGTTTATTTTTGCCTTTTACCTTTTTTTTTGTATTCTCAGCATATATAAGGTATTTATATGGTTACAGTTAAAGTTATCAAATGTTCTGTAGCACAGAAAATTGATTCCTTTGCGATTAATTCTTTTACTCCATAATTGTCATTCAAAAATATGTCAACTGACCACTTAGGCTAAATAATAACCTTCAGACTTGGGTTTTAATTGCCTCTGTTGTTCAGTTTTAGGTAAGATGTTTAAATATGATTAGTAAAAGTATATTGCTGGGAAACATGCATTATAAATAGTCATTTTGTTCAAAATAAAAGATTATTTCTTAAAATATCATTTGCGATTCATATCAGGACTTATGCAATGAAAAGACGAGAGGAATACTTCCAGAAACAGAAGCAACAAAGAAATAGTCAAATGAATTTGCACCGAAGAGTAAGTATCACCCCTTTTAACTTTATAGCACAGAATTATATTGAGAGTTTTTTTGGGCAACTTTGATTTTTCTAGTCATTTTTTGCATTTACTTATATTGATTACGTTAATACTTTTTAAGGGCCTGTTTACCAACATCAGTCTAGGAAGAAGCCACATATGTCTTACATTTCTACATGTGTCAAGTGTTTCTAGTCTTACAGTACTCTTTTCTTTGATCACCCCACTTTGCTTTATATTATTCTCTTCTAAGTGTACATCAGACAAAAGTGAGAAAGGATGATACAAATCACAAGTATTTAAAATCATCTTTTTAAACATGTAAACATTAAATCATCTTTTCCCCAGGATATTTATTTTATTATTTACTGAAGATCTAGGAATAGCCAATTATAAGAAATGCAATGAATGGTATATTGACAAAATCTTTTGAGTCTATTTTGTTGGAAATTTCCATCTTTAACACAAAACACATGTTTGAGATAAAGCATTTAGAAGAAAGTTTTTTAAAATAAATTTCTATTGATCACTAGTTTATTATATAGATGTTTCAAATGTGCACCATTATAGTTCTGTATCTATCACTATATAATTGGCCTTCTTTATTTGTTTCATCCACCCCCAATTTGTAGCTGAATAGTATTCCACTGTGTAGATGTATCATATGTAGATATAATCTCTGTTGTCACTTACAAAGTAATTATAAGAATAAAGGATTTAAGTTAATGATTGAAAAAAATCCTGTCACCTGTAATGGCTGACTGAGATAGAGTGAGACTTGCTAAAAATAAGTTACTGCGATAATGCAGTTCTCCATCTGGCTTAGCTATCTTGCATATAGTCAAGATCTCATGATTGTTATAGAAAAATTATAAGGGCACTCTGTGAATTTTATCTATAATTATTTTCTCCTGATCCAAATAGCATGTGGATCTAGGCCACAACTAGTTCTTGAGCGTTATTTTTCTCTTTGTTACTACCAACTATAAGAAGAACCTTGGTGTGGTTTCTTACCATGATTTTTCCACTCAGTGTTATTTCTGATTATTGAGTATCATTTGAAAAATAGTTATTTTCAGAAAATAAATCAACATTTTTTTTAATCCCTGCTTCCTTATTTGTTAAGTGAGAGTGTTGGACTACTTGATCCTGATGAGTTGATTGGCTTTAACATTCCTGCATCTGTGAATAGAGGAAAGAAATCTAAAGTTAAATGTTAGGCTGAGGATGAAGCAAAGAGAATATAACTGAATATAACATTTTGTAACTGAAAATGATGAATCAATTTAAATTATAGAAAATACTTTGTGCTGATGAAGAAAGACATTGCATCATTTGTTTCAACTTTTCTCATTTAGATAATACTAGAAAATGATAACAGCGTCAATGAAAATGATCAGGGATATCAAAGGTAATTGCAGACAGACATCTGTACAAGTGAATTTAATTCTTTTTATTTGGGGGGGGAGAATTAAACAAAAGTGAATAAATGTAACTTGTAACAGAGAACCTCTTAGGATTTGATTCTGAACAGTCCATAACAGTTTCTGTAATCGCTCCTAATGCAGAACCAAAACATATTTAAGTAAACTTGCCTGTCTTGACTTCATTTTTGCTTTTGAGATTTCCATACATCTCTTTCTTATGGTGAGTATATATATCTTCGTGTATCCTTAAAGCATGCATGAATTGTTACTCTGAAGAATTCAGTGCCAGGAAGATTCTTTTTCTCATTTTTAATCTTAAAATGAAAATCCTTGCGTTTCTCAGTAATGTATACTAGACAAACTATGTAAAGTTCAGTGTTCCAAATGGTGTTAGTTACAATTATGGAGGACTTGGCCCAGAGACGATTATCAGGAGCAATTGTGTAGTTTCAGAACCACAGCCAGGGAAGGGAAGAACATTGTCATATTATCTTTAAAGTGGTCTAACCAAAGGCACCTGTGGAGAGGTCATGATCATAGAAACAGATAAATAATAATAATAGTATTTACTGAGTGCCTGCTATGTGAATGCACTGTGTTAAGCACTTTTGCTTCTGTGATTTTATTTAATCCTCAGTCATCCTGTGAAGTAGGTATGAACATTTCCACATTACAGATGAATAAGCTCAGTGGTGTATTAACTTCCTTGAAGTCTCTATCTAAGTGAAGCTATTTTTAAATTTGATTAATGTGGTGACAAAATCTGTGGGATTTGTGCTGTACTGTATTGTCTCTCCATAAGTGCATGTGCAGAAGAGGTTAAATTCTTTTTTTAAAAGATTATTTATGCTTACAGAACTGGGGTACAGGACAGAGGTGTAGGGGCTGTGAGAGGATTCACCAGAGACGGAGTGGGGAGCAGAACAGACAGATTGACAAGGTACTCTGCTGAGGGAAGCAGTGGGTGGGTCAGAAGAGGTCTGCTGCGCCATGTGGATCACCTCCCGGGCTGGCTGGGGATCGAACTCGTGCTGCAGTGGCTTCGGCGAGCCTCATAATGCAGTGCTTTAACCCGCTGTGCCACCAAGGAGAGCCCCTAACTTCTGTTCTGTTAAAAGATTTATTTGTTTATACATACAAGAATTGTGGTAGAGGCTAGAGGTGGGGTGGTGGTGAGAGGTTTCACCAGGGGAGCAGAACAGGCAGATCTGCTGAAATATACTGCTGAGGAAATCAGCAGGTGAGACAGGTGAGATCTGCTGCTCCATGTGGGTCACCCCCCTGGCTGGGGATACAGTTCATGCTGCAGTGGCTGCAGATAGTTTCATAGCGTTGTGCTTTAATCTGTTGCACCACCAGGGAGTGCTGAACGATTAAATTCTTTAAAAGCCTAGTCTGCTAGTTTTCTCTTGTTGCTTAAACAAATTACCCCAAACAACAGCTTAAAACAGCACCCATTTTATAACCTCACATTTCTTAGTGTGGATGTCCGGCTGTGCTGGTCTGGTTTTCTAACTGTGTCTTAAAGAGCTGAAATAAAAATGCTGGCCCTGAGCTGCATGCTGGTCTGGAGGTTCAGGGAAAGAATCTGCTTCCAAACCCATGCCAGTTACTGGGAAAATTCAGTTCCTTGAGATTGTGGGGTTGCACTTGTTTCCTTGTTAGCTGGCTAGGAGCAGTCTGATATGCCTCCACAGGGCCCCTCCAGCTCCAAAATGGCAGCAACGTGTCTTGTCCTCTGGCTGAATCATTCTGATGTTTTCCTCTACTCACTTCCTTTGATGTGGTTAGAGTAGGCCAACCCAGATAATTCAGAATAATCTCCCCAATAGTTTCAAGTTAGTTCAGTAATAACTTTTATTATATCTCTGTGATTTTTTTTTTGCCAGATATAAGGACATATGCTCATGAATCTGATATATTCACAGTCCTGAGGGAAATCTTTGGCAGCCATTTCTAAAATTCTGCCTACCACATCTAGAATGTTACACTTAACCTGCTTTTAAAATTAAGAATGCAATATATTGTTTCCAAAAATCAAAGACATGCACATGTTCTGCTGTTAAAGAAAATAAAGAAAAAGAGAAATTATGACAAAAAAGTTAATTAGAAAAACAATATTTATTCAGTGACTCAGAGCACTTTCCTTTTTTTTTTTTTTTCCCCCAAATCAGACACTACTTTGGGCTCATTTGCTTCCTAGTAGAAACAATATGTATAACCAGAAAGAAAAAAAATTGGGAAAAAAATCTGATTCATTTGAAACCACTGACTACAACAACTAAACTGACAGTAACAAGATAAGCATATGGGTGTTTGTTATGCTCTATCTCTGATGGCGTGTAATTATATTCTGTGGTTTGAACGTTTGTGTACCCTGAAAATTCATATGTTGAAAACCTAATGTTCAATATGATGGTGGTAAAAGGGTGAGTATCTGTAAGTACTTAAGTGTGTAGGTGTAGGTCATAGCCATGGAGCCAACAGGATTAGTGCTTTTTATAAAGGAGATCCTACAGAGCTCCCACACCCCTTCTACCACGTAAGAATACAGCTGCATGTTGGCACTCTGCAGCCTGGATGAGGGTGTTCATCAGAACTCGACTATATGGACACCTTGATGTTGGACTCTACAGACTCCAGAACTGTGAGACATAAATTTCTGTTGTTTACAAGCCATCTAGTCTCTGGTTTTTTAAATATACATATATGTTTATTTTATTTATTTATGAATAGAAGAATTGGGGTGTAAGCCAGAGGTGTTGGGGGGTGATAGAAGTTAAAATGAATGGCTCAATATTAGCAGCTGTCAACTATTTATCAAATATTTTTTTTAATTGACAGATCTAAGAGACGGATTACAACTTTGTTCCTAAATAATGAATATAATGCAACCAAGAGTACTGTACGCAAGCCCAGAGGAATTTGCCTGAAATTCAACTTTCAAGCAATGGGTAATCAGGTAAGTGTAATAAAATTGCATGCATGATAAGCTTTTTCACAAGATGCTACATAATTCATGTTCACTTTAAGTATATATAAGGGTATCTTTTTTAAGATTTTTTATTTATTTATGCATACAAGATCTGGGGTCTTGGTCAGAGGTGTGGGGGGTGATTGGTCTCGCCAGAGACAGAGTGGGGAGCAGAACAGGCAGATCTATTGAAGTACACTGCTGAGGGGAGCACGGGCGAGATAGGAGAGGTCTGCTAAGCCATGTGGGTCACCTCTCCAGCCAGGGATAGGATCATGCTGTAGTGGGTCAGTGGCTGGTGATAGCTTGATAGTCCTGAGACTTTAACCCCTGTACCACCAGGGAGGCCCCACAAAGATATCTTTTATGAATAGGAAAAAAGAGTGGTTAACTAGAGCTTGTCTATACCCCTTCATACACAAAATTATTCTATGTACTCTAGCTTTGCAAAAGATAAAAAAGTTGACTAAAATAAATTTTAGGCATGGTTTTAACTCAGTCAACTACATTTATATCTGTGGTGGCCTTAGGACTCAACCTGGTTCTCACTTGTCAAGAAGACAAATCATATTATCAGATGATGTACTCAAGTATGAAACTATACTAATGTAATTTTACATTTTTTCAAAAGCTTTAAAGCCAAAACAGTGATTTTCCAGCTCTTACTTATCAACAGGGTAAATTAGCCAGAATGTCCGATTTCATCCATATTCGGATTAATTATGTTCTGCAATAATATATAGTAGTAAAGGTTAGAGACCACCTGTACCTCAGATCAGTACCAGTGTGGTTTCTAACTTACATTTTGGAGTGATATTGAAAGGGTATCTCCTAAAGACAGAGGAAGAAACCTTAGATTCAATGGTAGTCTATATAAGGATGAAACTAGAAGTTATATGTTGGGAGATCTTCGAAGTATCCCAACTGTCGTAGAATAATAGTGCTCACTGGAAGTCACTTGGCTCTAGGGTGTCTTCATGAGGCAGACCACAAAATTCCTGTGCACAATGGAGGCATTAATTTATACTACATAGAAATAAGCCTGATCCTAATCTCAGTGGAAGGTTACCATCTTAGTCCATGGGGTAACAGTATGCTTTCTTTCCTGCCTCTTTAATTAATGTTCTTTTCTGCCACTATTTATTATGTAAAGCCAAAGTGTAGCCTTAGTAGCGTAACAGAGATCAGTCAAACTACTTTATGCTCCTAGGTTATGAAATTCACAATTTTCTGTGACCCTCATTTACCTACTTTTAGTAACCAAGGCTCATGAATATTTTGTAAGATTGTCAATCCCCCGAGGTCATAGCTCTTCCCTCTTTCACAGACTAAGATTACACTCAATGAGAGATTCTCTAACCTGAAAATGAAGAAAGAACCAGAACCAATCATCAATACCTAAGGACCAAAATGTCCTCTCTTCTTCAAGATTTTCTGTTAATAGGGATGATGCAGTGAATTTAATTCAAGAGCATAAGACAATATTACAGTATTTAGCTTTTGTACTGCATTTGTTAAGTAATTTTGTCATATCTCAGCTTGGATGTGAGAAATCTGTCAAAATTAAGTGCTCATATGAAAAATGTTTAGCTTTCTTTGCAAGAAAGGACAGGTGAACAAGAAGGAAGCTGAATTGGAATGAGAGGTTTTAGGAAATCAACCGTGTTTTCAGAACTACATGTTTTGACATAGAGGATTTGTGTCTTTGCTTAATTTTGTTCTGTGAAAAATAAATAAACTTCACTTAGTAAAAAGAGTAAGGTAACAATATGTATCTTTTATGACTAAATATTCTGTGCCTCAAAAGTGAATTGGTAAAATTGAATGATACTGTTTTATTATTAAAATGCTAAATTTGTACCCAACATTTTATATTTTTTTCTAAGAATTTATTCTTTACTTTTGACATGACATGTGTAAGAATTTTCAGCTGTTCTACTGTCACTTTTGTGAACACATTAAGTCAATAAAGTATAAATACAACTGTGAATCTTTTTCTGTTCACTGATACTTGGGGCCCAAGCCAGTAATAAAGATCTTCATACAAACAATCAAAGTGTTAGACCTCAGTTGTGTCCTACGAAAACCTGTTATAGTACATGGGAAATACTGGTTTATAATTATTTGGTACTTCCATGTAAGAGCAAGTAGGTTTTGCACAATTTAATAAATGCTGTCTTCACACTTACTTGTTATTTGTGCAAGGAAAATGAAATACACTATAGAAATTTGGGAAAAGTTGGATTCCAGTCTGGCTCCTTTATACCATCACATTGAAAAGCAAATTAACTATCAGTTTGATTTAAGGTCTGCATATTTTGCTGTGGTTTTGCTGCAAAGACCTAATTTTAAATACAGAGCATGACAGTGTGCATGAAGCTTTTTTAAAGGCAGTTTGAGTATTTCCTTTATTTGTACTTAAACTTATAAGTGAACTTGCAAAACTGGTATTATAATAATGATGTAGGAAAAACACAAAACAACTTTCTAAAAATATTAATGAACAAATTAGGGGTTGTAGTAAACAAAACATAAGGGGCAGAAGTAAACAGAACACTTCATAGCTTAACCCTTCCCCTTAACTGAGATTTTTAATTAGCCTCCTAATCCCAGAAAATAACCTTCAATTTTAAATAAAGCAGCAATAAACATGGGGGTGCAGGTATCTTTTTGAATCAGTGTTTTTGTGTCTTTTGGGTAGATACCTAGGAGTGGGATTGCTGGGTCATAGGGAAGCTCCATGTTTAGCAGCTTGAGAAACCTCCAAACAGTTTTCCATAGTGGTTATTCTAGTTTGCATTCCCACCAGCAGTGCAGGAGAGTTCCTTTTTCTCCACATCCTCACCAACATTTGTTGTTGCTAGTTGTTAGAAAATAATCTTCAATACACAACTTTGTGCTTTTGCTTCCTATTCTTGAGGTTGGCTTCTATATCACAGACGTGTCCAAACAAATACTGGATCTAGTTCTATAGATCACACACATTTTCCATCAGGCTGCACAGAGCAGCTGAGGCTCCAGCAATCTCTGACTAGACTTCTATCACCCCCCCTCCAATTGACACCATCGGCATATTGAGAAGCAGGCTACCAAGTTAGAAATACAGAATTGTAAAAGAAGAGAAATTCCAGAAGTAGCATTGTGACTACCCAAAACTAGATGGAACATTATACTTCATCTTCACTCCCCTTCATGTTCCCTCATGGAGATATTTGGGAATAAACCCATGATATGCTGGGTACTTAAATACTTAGGGGTCTGCTATACTGTGTTATGGCTTTCCCCTGAAGTATCCGAGGTGGTCTCCAAATAAATCACTGAGAAGGCCAGGATCAGATGCTGCAGGCATTCCTCTCCAGAGTTGTGGAGCTGACTACCAGGACTGGTGGTTATGCCCCTAGAGATGCCCAGCTGGAGCACATGAGGGTTGACTGATCCAGGATGGGCTGTTCTGCTCCAGCCTGGGTAATGAAGGTCTGGTTGCTCCACATCAGAAGGCTTTCGGGAGTGTGCCCTGGACGTCCCTGGGGAGACAAATAGAAGCAGACATATTCTGTAGATGCCAGAGCTTCTGAGTCGCACTGGTGCTGTTCCTTAACCAGCTGCTCTTCTGCCATTTCTCACATTTCATTCTCTGGTCCTGGAACCAAGTCTTAACCTGTTTGTAACTGAGCTTCAGGATGTTGGGAAGTTCTTGCTGGAGACTGAGCTGTTTTTGTGTTTGAAATCTATCACTAAGCATACATAGCTGGGTCTGAGAGAGCACGGTTCTGCTCTTACTGGGCTCCTACCTTCCTTCTACACCATGCACTTCTCTCCACAGGTGGAGAATAGTTTTTTTTTTTAATATAAGAGATTATTTCTACACATTTTGTGCCTTTTTCCATCTCAGTTGTAATCCCCGTGGGCTTCCCATCACCAAGTCACCCGTGTGCCATCACCATAGTCCAGTGTACTTCCCCAACCCCCATTTTTGATCCCATTCCCCACTCTACCCCCGTAAAATGTCTCTGGTATATAGTTGTTCATTATTATTATTATTATTATTTTCTCCTCTGGTACTTTATGCTCCTGCTATGAGTGAAACCATCTGGTGTTTTTTCTTTTTCTTCTGGCTTATTTCACTAAGCATGGTCCCTTCCAGCTCCATCCATGTTGCTGTGTTTATCTTTTTTTATTGCTAAGTAATATTCCTTTGGGTATATGTACCACATCTTTTTAATCCAGTCATCTACTTTTAGGCATTTGGGTTGATTTCATGTCTTTCCTATGGTAAATAAAGCTGCAATAAACATGGGGGTTCAGGTGTCTTTTTGAATTATTGTTTTTGTGTCTTTTGGGTAGATACCTAGGAGTGGGATTGCTGGGTCATATGGAAGCTCCATTTTTAGCAGTTTTAGAAATCTCCAAACAGTTTCCCATAGTGGTTGTACTCATTTACATTCTCACCAGCAGTGTAGGAGAGTTCCGTTTTCTAAGTGGAGAATGGTTTTATTTGAATTGGTGGAATAATCAGGACTGTGCTGAGTAAGCAGAACTATGGGGGAAGGAAGAGAAGAGACAGTCATCATGTGAGGCCTCTCAGCCGAACACATTTACAAGATGCTTAGTTTTCTTCAGACCCATTAATCTCAAGTAGTGGTGAAAAGTCACTGTAATTGGGGACAAATTGGATCTGTACGCATGTTGAATAGTTGCGGGAGCGGGAACAAACCAAAGTGTTTGTCTGAAAGACCCATGCTTAAGCATTTACATGGACGAGCTTTAATGAAATCTATGGCATGAAGCTTTTTAGTGTAGTGTTTCTTCTGATTACACAAACAGTATACATGGTCTTAGGTTTTCTAGAGATAGTACCTGGGATGTACCAGGTGGTTGCACTCCATTGATTGTGAAAAATGGTAAAGGACTATGGGGCAACCAGAAGTGGCAGAGCTGGTATTGAACCCAGATCTCCAGTTGCAGAGCCTGTACTCTTTAACATATACAGGATTCTTATTCTTGTCTTCGTTTCAATACTGTCTTTTTCTAGAATGTTCTTTTCCTCCTTTGTAGGCCATACATGCTGTACTTTCATCCTTCTAGCTGTACTTCCCGCCCCCCCCCCGGCCCCCTCTAGCTATTAGGTTAAATGAGTTCAATGGAGGAAAACAAAGCAAAGTTGTCCGATTTGGTCCCTTCATGCCTGACTGGTTTTCTTCTCCCACATGCCCTTTCGGCTACTCTAGCTTCCGTGTTTCTAACATACTACACATGTCCTTGCTCCAGACCATTTATATTTTCCATTCCTTCAGCCTAGAAGACTGTACCAAGACATTTGCTTCATCCCGTCACTGATTATTCAGGTTTCTGTTCAAATGTCACTTCTACCACTTCAGAGGGACCTTCCAAGACACCCTACCTAAAATAGCACAGCACTCATTCTGTCCCCTTATCATGCATCACAGCATTCATTGCTCTATATCATTCAATTGTATCTTCATTTGTTTATTGTTGCCCCTATCCTTGAAAATAGACTATGAGAGCTGGTACTTTATTATAGATTTTTTGCCTTCAGTCTTTATTTTTAGTGCCTAACAACATGCTTGGTGTGTAGGAGGTATTTGCATAATGAAAGACACAGTGTTACCAAAAATTTGTTAAATTAAGTTTGGAAAAAAGGTGCCATTGTGGATTAAAATTTGAAACTATGGGAAACTGGTGTTTTCTTACATGTACTTTGTCAGATTTTAGGATTTTTTTTAAAGTAATAACATTTTACTTATATCAGAATAAATAAATATAGATGTGGGTAAAGTAGTAAGCCTTGAGTACTTCAGTTACTTTTTTGTTTGTTCATTTGGCGCCTTGAGTAGTTTTCCTGGTTTGTTTTTGCTGTGGTTCTGCAGTCTTTGGTTCAGCTCAGTGCAGCCCCTCAGCCAGGAGATGGCAGCATTCAACCTGTGAAAAAAATAGCCTTGCACTAAGGCGTTAAAAGAAAGGGGGAGAGAGAAGAGTAGAGGAGGGTGTGGGAGGGAGAAAGAAGAGGAAGGTAGAAATGAAGAAATTATTCTGGTTAGACAAGTAGTGGAGTTTGAGTACTTCAGAAAATGGACATTTGTTTGAAGTTGGAAAATACTTTATCCTGACAGCACAGGTTACCAGTTTAATTCAGATGGGTAATATTCAGTGTATTTAAACAACTAATCCTGAATGTCCAGGAGTAAAGAGGAAAACTGGCATAATTTGGCATTTCCCAGAGCCACACTTGGTAGCTGCGATAGTCACCACAGACCTGTGTGGTAGCTGCCAGTCAAAGATTAATATTAAGACCTCTGAACTAAAACCTCACAGCTTTAATTAATGCTCTGAAACTACTTCCTCGTCAAGTGACTGAGACACATTGAATATCCACCTTATTTTAAAATTTTGTTGCTCTAGAGAAATTTGAGTAGTCACAGAATTTTAATGTTATAAAGTCATAAAACTGAAGGTTTTGTTTCCTTTGTTAGGAAAAGAAGCTTGAGACTAAGGGCTTAAGCAATTTTTTCATGTCCTGCAGCTAGTTAGCAGAGTCAGGAGCTAAGTAAGTTTAGGTCCCCTCTATACTTTGTTCTGCTGAATTTTCTGCTTTTCTTTGAGAATGGGGGGGGGTAATTATAACAAAGTAAAAATTAAAATCAACCAGAGACATTATTGAGGGGGCAGGGAATTGGACCAAAACAGAGGTAGAGGAGCACAAGGGACTACGGTGGTGGGGTAAATTGGTGGTGGGAATTTTGGGGGGACCATACATGAGATGATAAAGCATATATTGTATGAAATTGAAGAATGCTGTAAAAATATTAAAAAATTAAAGAAATATGTAAATATATCAATATATAAATAAAAAGGATATTTATCCTGGTGTCCAGGGCTTGTTTAAAAATATTACAAATATTACAACAATAAATAAATAAGCAAAACATAATTATATGTAATTTATAAATAATACATATAAATATTCTATAATGCTAGTTTTTTAAAAGTGTATCTTATTATACCTTGATTTGAAAAAATATTAGACAACTTTAAAAGTACATAAAGGAAGAGAGGTTGAAAATGAGGACAAACTGGCCCTGCCTGGTGGCGCAGCGGGTTAAAGCACAGCACTGAGAATCTAAAGCTGCTTCTGCATGAGTTCGATTCCCCCCTGCCCCGGAGGTGACCGCATGGTGTGGCAGACCTCTCCTGACCCACCCGCTGCTCCCCTCAGCAGTGTACTTCGTCGATCTGCCTGTTCTGTTCCCCACTCTGTCTCTGGTGAAGCCTCTCACTGCCCCTGAGCCTCTGGCCTGTACCCCAGTTCTGTATACACAAATAAATAAACCTTTAAAAAGAAAAAAAAGAAAAGAAAAGAAAATGAGGACAAACTTCTCCCAGTTCCCACCTAGTCTAGGTTTTTTCTTGACTGAACCAGCCGTGTGATCTCACGTGACTCATTTCCTTCTTTTAAGCTTCAGTTCCTTCATCTGGTAAGGTATCTAGAAAAGATGGTCTTTTAAGTTGCTGGAAGTAATATATGTCTCAGCTCTCTACAAAGTCCTAAAATACATATATCTTCCTCTTTGAATTTTCTGCAAAAGATGTCAAGGGAAGCTTCAGATTAAAGCAAGCGGTGTGCTCCTGACCAGATACTCTCTTTTTTGTTTTTAAATTGTATTTTTTTTTATCACAGTAATGTTGGTTTACAAGACAGCAGTGATTTAGGGGTATAAATTCACACCTCTTCGACTGTACATCACCACACCACACCCCCCACCAAAGCACTTATAATCGTCCACCAAAATCTATCAGCCCTCCTTTCTCCACTTTCCCCTTCTCCTCCTTCCCTTCTGGTAGATTCATTTCGGATGCCAGATTTCTATGGTTTGTCGGTTTAATTTTCTTATGTTCCTTTATTTCACTTCTTTATATTCCACATGAGTGAGATCATACAATATTTGTCTTTCTCCTTCCGACTTATTTCACTTAGCGTAATCTTCTCTAGTTCTATCCATGTCACAAATGGCAAGATTTCATCATTTTTTGTAACTGAGTGCAATGGAAATATTTCTCCTTGTCATTGGAGCTGATGCCCCAAAGACATCACTGAGGCCAGTATTCCAGGGTGCTCTGCTATGTTGTCTTCTATGTGTTTTATGGCTTCAGGTCTTACATCCAAGTTACATCCAATTTGAGTTAATTTTGTGTGTGGTGTGAGAGTGGTCTGTTTTAACTGGACAGCATTTGGCTCTCCAGTTTTCCAACCCTATTGATTTTAGAGACTTTCCTTTCACCTTTGTATACTTTTGGCTTCTTTGTCGTAGATAAACTGTCATGTAAGTGTGAGTTTATTTATGAGCTTTTAATTCTATCCCCTAGTCTGTGTGTCTGTTTTTAT